CGTGTCCGCTGCAGTCTGCAGGCTGGCAGCGCCGCCGGTGAACACACAGCACGGTGGAGACTTGACGAGCACAGCGCCACCTGCTGTCAGGCTTACTGAGGGGGGGGTGGGGGAAGTGATTCTCTGAGATAAAAGTGTGCTCATACATTTATAGACAACATATTCTGCTAATGTTCAGCTTCAGATATGTACAGTGTCTCTCTACTGGGACATGTCTCCATGCTTTAATGTTCAAAAAGCTCTTTATTTTCTCTCTCTAGCCTCTGCAGACCATTTACTGCACAAACCTATCAAAGTCACCAAAAAGCGTAATAGGGCCTCTTTAATATCTCTTCAAACGTGTGCTCCATTTAGAGAACGTTAGAGAATAAGAACTCTATGTTCCTGATGTATTTGTTCGTGTATTCAAAGTCTTTCTAATGCATGAAGGTGAGTTGTCTCACCAGTGATCGGAGGGGTAGCTTGCTAACGAGCCGTTGATCACGAAGGTGGAGGAGCCGCCTCCGTCCAGATTGATGGCGTTAACGACTCCGTAACTCTTCAGAGACTCAGCCATCTCCCAAAGATTCATTCTTTCATAGGACAACCGAAAACAAATATGACAAACATTAGATGAATGGGGATTAAAGTTGGTATTAGGGCCCGGAGGTTCACGTCGAAGGGGATTCCTCGACAAAAGCAATGTGATTTGTTTTCCTCACCCCCTGACTCCCGTCTGCCCGTCGATGTGGAACAGGACCAGCCTCCCCTCGGCGTCGTGGCCCACCGCCGTCCGGCCCGACACCACGTCCACAAAAGTGCGAAACTTCCCTGTGAAAGCATCACGAGTCACCGGCTGAATCCCTTCTTCAAACTTCACAACACAAACTGACTGGAGAAACTGCAGAGGCTAACATTTCACTCAAATGATTTATAGCACGATTTATGGAGATGTCCTTCATGATATTTACATCATTGACATATATTAAGACTTGAGGAAAAGTAGAAGTACTCAGATCTTGTACTTGAGTAAAAGTAGAAGTACTCAGATCTTGTACTTGAGTAAAAGTAGAAGTACTCAGATCTAGTACTTGAGTAAAAGTAGAAGTACTCAGATCTTGTACTTGAGTAAAAGTAGAAGTACTCAGATCTAGTACTTGAGTAAAAGTAGAAGTACTCAGATCTAGTAATTGAGTAAAAGTAGAAGTACTCAGATCTTGTACTTGAGTAAAAGTAGAAGTACTCAGATCTTGTACTTGAGTAAAAGTAGAAGTACTCAGATCTTGTACTTGAGTAAAAGTATAAACGCTGTATTAGATGGCTTTATAATGCTATGGTTTAAGTAGTTTAAGTTCAGTCTAAGGTATGTTAAATAAAGTTTGCTGTTAGGAAATAAAATCAAAATCAAACAACGTGAGCTCGAATCTACCTTACTACTGGCATTTAGTGTTATATGAATAAAAAATATGTTTTAAAAATCATCAGATATAAAATAAAGGGTAATTGCTAGAAAGAAATCCAACCGTTTGTGTAAGTTTACAGTTAAGGCCTCTAAGAAAAGTTGAAATGAAACAAAACACCTCCCAAATGTTCCCTCATTGTGTTGAAAGATCACAAAACCCAAGGCTCCACCAACAACAATGTAACAGCTCAACTTGGGTTGTTTGTTTATGAATGGAAGATACTTAATTAGCAGCTTCAGCCTCGATATCAAAACATAAATCTGCAAATTGCCTCTTGACTTTGAAGCCGAAGACCTCGAGATGCAATCAGAGCCGAGCAATCGCCCGTAATCTGCGACGAATCCAGCGAGTGTGAAGGAGGAACAGAAGCAATGAGTCACGGAGGGAAATGACGAAGCTAATTGCCGTAGAATTAATAGAATAATGGGATTTCTGCAGAAAGACCGCTTGAAAGTCACGGCCCCCTTTTTTAGAAACACAGCTTTGGTTGGATTCACAATGAAGGTAATGTGGAAGTCATTTTTACTGATGGTATAATATTTAACCATTGAACGCCTCGCTGCACATCATCCTTTACTTATTTTTTATTCCCACCTGTCCTTTACTGCATGTCACTCTTATTCCTGCTTCAACACCTGGATTATCCTAAAGCGTTCAGTACAGACTTATTCAGGTTCCTGACTTTCCCTCAGGCTTCTGACTTCCCCTCAGAATCTACAGTCTTCGTTATCTGATAATTCTGACTTTTCCTCAAAATTCTGACTTTTTTTATGATAATTCTGTCTTTTCCTCAAAATTCTGACATATTCTGACTTTCTTTCTGATAATCCTGACTTTTTCTGTCTTTTTTTCTCAGAATTCTGTCTTTTTCAGTCTTCTTTATATCAGAATTCTGTATTTTTCCACAGAATTCTGACTTTTTCTGTCTTTTTTATCTCAGAATTCTGACTTTTTCTGTCTTCTTTATCTCAGAATTCTGTCTTTTTCAGACTTCTTTAACTAAGAATTCTGTATTTTTCCTCAGAATTCTGACTTTTTCTGTCTTTTTTATCTCAGAATTATGACTTTTTCAGACTTCTTTATCTCAGAATTCTGTATTTTTCCACAGAATTCTGACTTTTTTTGTCTTTTTTATCTCAGAATTCTGACTTTTTCTGTCT